CCCCAAAACCCCAAAACCCCAAAACCCCTAGATATTCAGATAAGTTGAGATTCCACTAAATCGTGCTTGCCAAAATCCTGATTCCGAACGATCACTTTTTAAGTTTTGGGATTACCGCATAAAGTTCCGACTAGGCTTGTTAAGAGAGAACTTCTGCCGAAGGTACTGAGCACTCTGCTTTGAAAGAGTCGAGGGAGCAATTTTAGATTTTGATACCCTGCTCCTGAATTTGTACTGCCTAAGATCGTTGGCAATCTCCTGTGCATCTTGGTTCCTCCTTGGCATTCTGTGAGCGAGGGTTAGTCATGAAGCTTACATTTTGGCTCTGTTTTGCTTGTATCTGATGAATTCAGGAGAAGGACCTTGCACTGACACCTTCTTCCTTCTCTTTGCCCATCTCTTCTTTCAGGTTGAGTGAACGAACACGACTAAATATTATATGACAGGTACCGAAAGAGATAAATGTGTTGACTATGTTATTGGAGATCATTGCCCAGAAGTATCCAAGTTCTTTTGAGGCATCCCAATGTTCCTCTTTGTTATGAAATACCAAGAAGACTGTGAACCCAACGTGGAAGAACTCATTGATCAACTCCATGATGTTGGGTGAGATTTTTTGGAATGGCCGGACTGCTAAGAATTCAATGAAATAGATTAGATTTACGGCTGAATAAAATGTGAGAAAAGTTGGTCTTGGAACCCATCTCAAGTCTACATGTTATACCAGCATTTACATATGATAATGGCTCACAGAGTTGCTCTTCTCAGTAAGAAAATGAAGGGATGCAACCTGGCCATCTTTCTATATTTGAGTCCTTTGAATAATTCCTTTCTCAAAAATTTAGATTTTTTGTTTGGCTTTGTACAAGTCCATGCTGTGAGCACAAGCAAAATCAAGACTAGAGATATCAAACTGAAGACGACTCAGAAATAGAAGGAAACCCTCTCAGAGTTATTGGAGTCTGAGTTCCACCATTTTAATTCAGACAGGCATCATAAGGAGAGAGTCATGAATCCTTCAAAATATGTGACAAAATAGATCTCAAATGTGAGCATAGTGTATATTTTTCGTATTCTTCTCATCCAAGAAGCTTGTGAGTCTTCCTTCCACCGAATGCAGCCGTAGAAGAGAGAGTGCGAAAGTACAATCAGTCAGATGAGTAGCAGAAGACTAGCTAGGTTCAGCAAAGTGCTTCCAGATTCGATGCCAATCACGACGAAGTCTTCTCTGTCCTGGGAGTGGTCAATCTGATCAACTATTATTCTGATTCCTTCAATTGAGCTCCAGTCAATGCTGAAGTTAATCAGGGTGAATGACATGGACCGAAGATAATTGACAACTTTAAGAGGAAGCGGCACTTCTAAAAGGACAAGAAGGATAAGCAATTGAAGTTGATTAAGAGAAGCCAAAGCTGAATTAGCTGAGCTTAGACTCATAAATCCTCCTGCTATGTTGAATGAAAAAGCTAGGAATGTAATGAATAGCATCGAGGCTTGGAGGATTCTATCGCTACTTGATAGAGGCACAGAATCGTAGTCTCGTTCGCAAACAGTTGGGCTTCCTTGGTCTCACTTCCATCCAGATTCTACATAGGTGCAGTCTTGAGATCATCCATCTCCTTTTTCTGTGTTAGCATCGTCACAGGTTTCAGTTCCATTTTTAACCCCATCACCACACATTTGACATTGGTTAGTAGTCGAAGGAACTTGTTGATAGCTTCCAAAACAGTTTACTGAGACTTGAATCGGAGATGCTCCAACGTCATTGCTCTTAGAGAAGTTTTCTGATGGGATAGTCACTGGTCCATTTCCAATATCCCATCCAAGTTTGATTACTGCTGCATTTCCGTAATCAACAAACTTGACCTCTATGTCATACGTTTCGAAGGCATGAAGATTGTAGGTAGCATAAGCTGTTCCCCACCAATAGTTAGGGAACTTATCAATGATCTCTTCTCCATTGATGATTCTATAGCATAGTGAGGTTACTTACAAGGAAGCTCCATCATCCTGAGTCAGAGCCATCTTTGTGCTGCCTGATCTCAAGGGCGTTAGCTTCCCAGTAAATCTGGCAGCTACTTGATCATATCTTTGAGGAGTGATGTAGCCAGCCCAATAAAAGTCAAGATTGCTATATGTTAGAGTCCTCATTTACAAAGATGTATTAGTGATTGCTGGAGTGCCAGTTATAGTAACATCGTTGTAAAACTCTCCTATTATAGGATTAGATATCACTTGGATCACTGAGAGAGTGGCATCCCCAAAACGATCCAGATCAAAGCTGGCGGTATAAGTCCCATCACCGTTGTCAATCAATTTCTGAATCTTCTCTGCTCCATGAAGTGCGCTTTGTGCAGAGAAAGGAATTCATGACATATTGGCACCTCGAGTTCAAGGATCTGACAGATAAAGATAGAGGTTCTCTCCTCCTACAGTGAGATTATCTCCGCTCGAGTCTTTGGCTTGGACAGTTACTGTGTAAGTCTGGTTGATGACCAAAGTCTCATCGGAGGCTACTCCCGAGATAATGCTCATAGTCGGATCAAATCCTAAAACTTAACAAAGAATGAGCATTATTAGTCATGAACTGTATAATTATGGCTTATTTTCAAACCATACAAACACTTCTTGAAAATTGACTATCCAAATTTTGTCGAGGTTAAATGGTTGACAAGTCAGTTATTGAAAAAGTACGTAATATGATAAATAATTCTCATCGCTTATTTTGTATATTTCCCTCTAAAAATTCCAGTTCCCCATCCACAAAAAATTGAGTCTTGGATATTCAGAAAGTTAGTATAACTCATTTTTTATGACAAATAACGCTGCAAGGTCTTACCTGCTTTGATTATGAAGACTTGTAGTATCATGATCAGCAACCTATAAAAGCATTGATCATATAAATATAGAAGCAACTTCGGCCAGAGAATAAGCCTCGGGCGAGGTGTACCCGACCAGACTAACCTATATGGGCTTGTCCGATTATGAATTGATGCAGTGCTAATTTCAAAGCAAGATTTTATAAAATTTACCATATTCTTGTGCTAGGTTTAATCATATTTGTGTATTAATTATTTAACCGAGCTCCCTTGAAGTATGAAATGGGGTTTTGGGGTTTTGGGGTTTTGGGG